GAGCCGCCCGGTGGGTTTTTGTGCGAAGCGGGAGGTGAAAATGTTCATTTTTATGGTTTAAAATAATTTTATTTTAATATTTCGAGTTTCGCCCTCGCTCCTTGGCCTGGGAAAGGGGCTCCGCCAGCCCCGGCCCCGGTGAGGAGCGGCTGCCGTGGAACTGCCGCCAGCCCCGGTGCAGCTCCGGTGCAGCCCTGATGCAGCTCCGGTGCAGGCCCGGTGCAGCTCCGGTGCTTTCGGTGAAGCCGTGGGGTCCTGGTGACCCCCTCACATCGGCGGAGTCCTCTGGGGGTCTCGGTCCGCTCGCCGGTCCCGCGGTACCGGGGAGGGACCGTGCGGGACGGAGCCTCGCGGTCACCTCCTCGTCACCTCCCGCCTCTCCGGGAGCGGTTCCCGGGGACAAACGGGACAAGGAGGGAGCTGGGCGGCCCCGGGGCCTGTCCCCGCTGTCACCGCGGGGCTGGGGACACATCCCGGTCACCTCCCGGGGCTGGGCCCGGTGGCCGCAGAGCACGTGGAGAGGCCTCGGTGGCGTTGGGTGCCCAGGTGCCACCACGGCCACCCCATGGCACGGAGGGGACATCCTGGGGGCTGGCGGGGGGGTGTCCTGCACCCCAAAAGGTCCTGGCAGCTGTGTGGGTGCGGGACCCCAGCTGGGCATGGGGGTGTCCTCGTGCCAGGAAAAGGTGTCCCCATGGATTTGGGAATTTCGGGGGATTTCAACCCCAGCCCTGTCCTGGCTCCAGAGCCACCAGGTGCACCCCGGTCCCCAAGAGCAGGACGTGCCACCAGCGAGCCCCAAGGCTCCGGAACCCCCTCGGGCAGCCCCAACAGGACCCGGGAATTGTTGGGGCTCCAGAATGGGAAAAGGCTCTGGGCTGGAACGGGGGGATGGCCTGAGCACCCCAAAACCCACACTGGGGAAGGTCAGCAGGGTCAGCAGGTGGGGTTTGGTGTCCCCTGTGCCGCGCTGGCACCGCGGCCGTGCCCTTTTCCCTGCCGTCCCTCCGGAGCAGCTCCAGCTGCCGGGGAATAACAATAAATAATGCCCGAGCTGGAGCCCAGGGCGCAGCTGCGGCCCCGGATCCGGCAGCCCCGGCGTTCCCGGCTGTTGTTGTGCCGGGGCTGTGGCACGGACGTGGGCACGGATGCGGGCACGGGAATGCGGACGTGGCCTGGGCATCGTCACCGCCACGGCTCTTCCCACACAAAATGGTTCCCGGCGTTGATCCCGCCGGAAAAGCCGCTGATCCGCCTACAAGCCCTTTCCTTCCCGGCAGCTCCGCGCCAAGGCGTGGGGTGTGGGTTATGGGGCAGGTGCCACCACCCCCTGTGCCACCACGGATGTCCCCAAGCCCTCGGGACTCCCTTGGTGCCGCGTTCCGGGATGGCGCCGCGGCCGTGTCCAGCGGCTCCACGGTGGGAAAGTGGCTCCGGGATTGGGGTCCCTTTCCCAAATCGGTGTTTGGTCCCCATTCCCACCATCCCAGTGTCGGATCCACCGCCTCATCCCGGTTCCTCTGTCCTCATCCCAAATCTGCCGATCCTACGGGCAGCGCCGCCATTCCAATACCAGCGCCGCCATTCCAATACCAGCGCCGCTATTCCAATGCCAGCGCCGCTATTCCCATCCCAGCGCCGCCATTCCCATCCCAGCGCCGCCATTCCCATCCCAGCGCTGCCATTCCAATGCCAGTTCCACCATTCCCATCCCAGCGCCGCCATTCCCATCCCAGCACCGCCATTCCCATCCCAGCGCTGCCTTTCCCATCCCAGCACTGCCATTCCAATGCCAGCACTGCCATTCCCATCCCAGCACTGCCATTCCCATCCCGAAACCACCATTCCCATCCCAGCTCCACCATTCCCATCCCAGCTCCACCATTCCCATCCCAGCGCTGCCATTCCCATCCCAGCTCTGCCATTCCCATCCCAACACCACCATTCCCATCCCAGCCCCACCATTCCCATCCCAACACCACCATTCCCATCCCAG